CGCCCTCCCCCTCTCTCTCTCACACGGACACACGCACACATGCACACATGCAGACACACACAAACTTCATCTGTGTACTTTATTCATGAAAGTATCCCTCAAATTCTCATTTAGTGTTCATCACATTTTGATTGTTAGTAACTTTTGGTGAATCTCATACAATTTCAGTTTCTTTTTTTGAGAAATGAGTTAACTACTTTTTGAGGGTGTCCTAATTCCAGAAATTTTTTAGTTCTTTGCATCTCTCTTACCTACATTAACTTCTTCCTTGAGAAGAAAAGATGATGGATTTACTCTAAAGTAGAAGTCTTATTCATCTATGATGAATATGAAATTTCTAGAGCAGTATGAGGGACCAATATGAAAATAACTAAAATTTCCATATAATAACAAATTGTAAGAACAAATTGGTGGTAGAAATGGGGGTACCACAAAACATTTTCCAGAGAAGCTTGTTAGTGTGTGCTGCTGCTCAAGTTAGCACCAAGCTTCAGTGTTTAAAAACTCTAAAGTATAATGTTGTTCAGAAACGGCTTTGTTTACACATTATTCAAGGATCCAAGTTGATAAATGATATCTCAACTTTTAGTCATTGTGTTACAGTACTAGAGGGAACAAATAGAAGAAAACAAAGTTTCTCATTGGTCTTAAATCATTGATATTGCTAGTCCATAAGTGAGGGACATCATTTCTCTTTTTTGGCCTATTAAGAGTTCATCCGATGTCTCTGTAAGAGGGTATGGAATGTGGGATGAATATATCAATATTCAATGAACATAAATGCTCCTGTTAAACCATATATGAACTGATTTTGAAAAGGTAAATAAAGTCAGTCTGGTGATTGAAGAAAGAAGATATTAAAAAGAAGCTCTACTGTGAAAGTGAAGTTACCAGTAGGGTAAAAAAGTAAATGATTAAAACTTCTCAACAAAATTTGGCCAATCGACTTTAACAACTCATCAAAAAAAGTCATATACCATAATCAAACAGGATTCATTCCAGGGATGCAAAACTGGTTCAATATACACAAATGAATATAATTCATCACATTAACAAGAGCAAGGACACAGGGCTGGGAAGGTGGCTCAGTGGTAGAGCGCATGCCTTGCATGCCAGAGGCCCTGGGTTCGATTCCTCAGCACCACATAAGCAAAAAGAAAAAAGCCGGAAGTGGCGCTGTGGCTCAAGTGGTAGAGTGCTAGCCTTGAGCTGAAGAGCTGAGGGACAGCGCCCAGGCCCAGAGTTCAGGCCCCATGACTGGACGCAAAAACAAAAAAAAAACAAGAGCAAGGACAACAACTACATGATTATTTCAACAGATGCAGAAAAAGCATTTGACAAGATCCAACACCCCTTTATGATGAAAGCTCTGGAAAAACTAGGAATCCATGGAACATTCCTCAATATAATAAAGGCTGTATATAACAGACCTGCAGCCAGCATTACACTTAATGGTGAAAAGTTAAAGCCATTTCCTCTAAAGTCAGGAACAAGACAACAATGTCTACTCTTGCCACTTCTCATCAATTTAGTATTATAATGCCTAGCTAGAGCAGTAAGACAAGATGCAAACATAAAGGGGATCCAAACAGGTAAAGATGAAGTAAAACCCTCTTTGCAGATGACATGATCTTGTATTTAAAGAACCCCATAGACTTCACTCCCAAGTTACTTGAGCTGATTCGAAACTTTGGCAAAGTAGCAGGGTATAAAATGAACCCTCAAATATCAGTGGCTTTTCTGTATGCCAATAACAAGAAGATCAAGACTGAAATCAGAAAAGCAAGTACTTTTGCAAAGCCCTACAAAAAATAAAATACCTAGGAGTTAACTAAAGAAGTGAAGGACCTCTATGATGAAAACTTTTAAAACCTGAAAAAGGAGAACTAAGGAAGTAGAAAAACCTCCCATGCTCCTGGATTGGGAGGATTAACGTGAAAATGGCAATACTGCCAAAGGCTATATGCAAATTCAGTGTGATACCTATCAATAAATCAATATCCCAACCTCATTCTTCAATGAAATAGAAGAATCAACCCAAAAATTCATATGGAACAATAAAAGACCCCCGAATAGCAAAAACAATCCTTAGCAGAAAGAACAGTGCTAGAGGAATATCAATACCAAATCTCAAACTCTACTACATAGTAATCAAAACAGCTTGGTACTGGAACAAGAACAGACCTGAGGACCAATGGAATAGAACTGAAGACCCAGAAATGAACCCACAGACCTATAGCCACCTAATCTTTGATAAGGGAGCTAAAAATAGAATGGAAGAAAGACAGCCTCTTCAGTAAATGGTGCTGGCAAAATTGGTTAAACAACTATTGAAAACTAAAGCTAGATCCTTATCTATCACCTTGCACCAGAATCAATTCCAATTGGCTCAAAGACCTTGAAGTAAAAGCAGACACCCTGAAAACATTATAGGAAGGAATAGGAGAAACTCTAGGGCCCCTTGGCACAGGCTGAAATTTTCTTAGGAAAGACCCAGAAACAACAAATCAAAGAAAGGTTGGACAAATGGGATTGCATGAAACTGCAGAGTTTCTGCATGGCAAAGGACATATCTAGCAAGATCAATAGAAAGCCCACAGATGGGGAGAAGATCTTCACTAGCCATATAACAGACAAGGTCTCATATCTAAAATATACTTAGAACTCAAAAAATTAACTCCTCCAACAAATCCTCAAAGAACTGCCTGATTAATAAGTGGGCTAAAGACTTAAGAGAGACTTCTCTGAAGAGGAAATAAGAATGGCCAATAGACACATGAAGAAATGCTCAACTTCTTTGGCCATAAAAGAAATGCAAATCAAAACAACATTGAGATTCTACTTCACTCCAGTTAGAATGGTTATAATCAAGAAATCTAATAACAGATGCTAGATATGGCCAAAAGGGAATCCTACTGAATTGCTGGTGGGAGTGTAAACTTGTTCAACCACTTTGGAAAGCAGTATGGAGGTTCCTCAAAAGACTCCACATAGAGCTCCCCTATTACCCAGCAATCCCACTTTTGGGCATTTACCCAAATGATCACAAACAAGACCATACTAAAGCTACCAGCACAACTATGTTTATTGCATCTTTATTTACCATAGCTAAGATATGGAATCAACTCAGATGCCCCTGAGTAGATGAATGGATCAAAAAAATGTGATGTATATATGTGTGTGTGTGTGTGTGTGTGTGTGTGTGTGTGTGTGTGTGTGTGTATCTATAGATATAGATATACACACACATACACACACAATGCAATTCTAGGCCTCCATCAGAAAGACTGACACTGCCCCATTTGTTAGAAAATGGAAAGACTTGGGAAAAATTATATTAAGTGAAGTAAGCCAGGCCCAAAGAAACATAGGTCCTATGGTTTCCCTTATTTGCAATAACTAGTATATGTCTAGACAAGCAGAAAAGGTGAAAAGCTGTGTACGTATGACCATATAAGATGATGCTAAGCAAAATGAACCCCAAGATAGGAACACAAGAGGTTTCATCTTTGTTGCTATTGTTTTAATGTATTTATGATGTACTATGTGATTTTTTTTGTTTCTTTTATATGTTCTTCCCCCATGGTATAACCCCTGTTTTCACTGTATTTGATTCTTGTATATACATCTTGTATATACATTTTTCTAATTTGGGGAGGGGAAGGAAAATAACAAAATGCTGAAACAAGAATATAGGTTGAGCCAGGAGCCTGTGGCTCACACCTGTAATCCTAGCTACTCAGGAGGCTGAGATCTGAGGATCACAGTTCAAAGCCAGTCTGGTCCCGAAAGTCCGTGAAACTTATCTCCAATAAACCACCAGAAAACCAGAAGTGGCGCTGTAGCTCAAGTGGTAGAGCTCTAGCCTTGAGCTGAAGAGCTGAGGGACAGCGCTCAGGCCCAGAGTTCAATCCCCACGACCCACGACCGACAAAAAAAAAAAAAAAAAGAATACAGGTTGACCCATTGTAACAATGAGATGTACAAGACACTATGTTGGAAGGAACTTTATCACTTCAGGTTGGGGGAGGGAGGAGTTGGAGAGGAGGAGAAGGAAGGGATGGTAGGGGAAAAACAAAAGATGGGGTAACAATGCTCAATAGGAAATGTACTCATTACCTTACTCATGTAATTGTAATCCCTCTGGTACAGTATTTTTACAATAAAATATATATTAAAAAATAAAAATCTAAAAGTAAAAAAAAAAGTAAATGTTTAGTTATTCTAACAGACTGGAAGCTGGAACATTCACATATGAAGATCTAAAAGCCAGAAATAAGTCCTGAGGCAGTGGAATCTTTCACTGTCTACATTATTTGGTTTATATGAAATACAGATTAAATATGTATTATGAATTTCATGGAGTTATTTGGTGGAAAACTGTTAATGGACAGTTTATAGTTTAGATTGCTCTATGATCCAAGAATCTAAATACATGCAAAAATGACTAGAAAAAATAAACTTTAAAAAGATTTTTATCTTTTTTTTTAATCTGAACTTTTAAAGTTGTATAAAAACATCAGAGTTGTGCAGCAGAAGCATGCTGGGCCCATAAACTTGTATTAAAATGACAAGAAAGACTTCACTGAAATCAACCAGTGAAATATCACACCCATATTAAAAACAATATTTTAGGAGGTTACAAAAATAGTATATCTAAATATATAGTTAATGGCAGGTAACATTAGTGGAGTATGTACTGTATACAAGAAGCAATGCTAATTATTTTGTATGTATTGTTTTGTTAAACCCCATGCTGCCTCTAAGGGTGATTATTCTCTTTACAAACTAGTAGTTTATAAAGTCAACTTTCATGTATCTTATAATACTTAAGATAATTTGGTTCTAGCAAAGGTAAATCAGTTATAAATCATCAGTTTTATCTGTCACTTATTAAATGTCCTCTTATAAATGTTTTTGATTTATGCAATAAAATAATTTAACTACAGAAAGTAGGAGTTATACTGCAATTTTAACTTTTTTTTTTTTTTTTTTTTTAGTGTTTGGACAGAGGCGCCAAAGGCCAAATACCCACTTTCAGCAATTTTGTTTCAACTGTTAGCCAGAAGAAAGAAGCTGAAAATAGAAGTTCACCTACACATCTTGTTTTCCCTAACATCAAGAATGGTAATAGTCTCTCTCTCTCTCTCTCTCATTCTCTATGTATATATACATATATATATATATATATACACATATATATATACACACAAACATATGCATAGAAATATCTTGGCTAAGAATGGAGTATTCAGCTATTTAAAAGTTAGATTTCAATTATTCATATTTGTTCTGAGTGAATACAGCAACAAGAAATAAACTAGGTAAATATGTACATAAAGAAGCAAAATCATTATTTTAGATCATTGTTACCTAAAGTAATAATGAAATAAAAACTCATGAATAATAAGTTTGATTAGAGAACCAACTACAATAAGACTTTTATATGTCTTTTTATTGTACAGTTAAGCAGCCTATTCATCACTGTGACAGATGCTTGAAATAACTTAAGACCGAGTTAATTTGGCTCAGGGTTTCAGAAGTTTCAATCCATGTACAGTAGGCTCTTTGATTCTGGGTTGTTAGTGAGGCAGAACATTATAGTGGGGAGGCTGTGGTAGAAAAGAACTTTCCACCTCATGGTAACCAGGAAGCAGAGCAAGAGGCAGGAAGAGGCTAGCAATAAGAAGCTGAGATTGGGAGGATTGTAGTCCCAGGCTAGTCCTAGCAAAAATGTTCTCTAGACCCTATCTCAACAGAAAAATCTGAGCCAGGGTAGTTTTTGTCTGTTATTCCAGCTCTGTGGAAAGCACCAATAGTGATTCTCAATACATAATATCCTGGGCTAAAAGTGAAACCATATCTCAAAAACAACCAGAGAAAAATGGCTGAATATGTGGCTCAAATGGTAGTCTGCCTAGCAGTTCAAGTACTGACTTTATACCCCACTACCTCTATTAAAAAAAAAGAAAGAAAAAGAAACTAATGAGAACATTGCCATTAGAGAAATCAAATAGATGGAGCCAAGTACTCTATGTAAATGGCATTAAATTATTTTAAAAAGTATAAGTAGGCCAACAGGATAACCTCCTTTTATTTTATTGTTTTTTTTTTTTTTTTTTGGTTGTGGGGCCTGAACTCTGGGCCTGGGTGCTGTCCCTCAGCTCTTCAGCAAGGCTTGCCCTCTACCACTTGAGCCACAGCACCACTTCCGGCTATTTCTGCTTATATGTTGCTGAGGAGTAGAACCCAGAGCCTCATGCATGTAAGGCAAGCACTCTACCTTCCCAGCCCAAGGATAGCCTCTTTTTTAAACTGGAAACATACTAGAAGAACATGTAGAATTTTTTTTTCAAATGTGCAATTACTCACCAACCTAGTAATTCATCTTTTAGGAATTTAGTCTGAGGAAATAATGAGGATTATTTATGAAAGTATTTGAGCCAACCTAAGTGAATTGATTACTTAAATTATGTTAATCTGTATTGTAAATGTTAGGCTTCTAATGAAAAAGAATGTGCTAAGTATATAAAGTGATTAGAAGAGCACTTACAATGCAATTATAAAAAATTAAAAGCAAGCTATATAGTTAATAGCTAAAATATGACTCTGATTTTTTTTTATGCCAGTTCTGGAGCTTGACCTCAGGGACTGGGCTGTCTCAGAGCTTTTTTGCTCAAGGCTAACATTGTACTACTTGGCCACAGCTCCACTTATGGTTTTTTGATGGTCAATTGAAGCTGGCTTAATAATCCTTAGATCTCAGCTCCCTGAGTTGCTAGGATTACAGGATTGAGTTACCAACATCCAAGAGATCTCTTATACTTTGAGCAAAGAAAGGAGCCTACAAATCTGTTGATGTTTTTATCAGAGAGGCTTGAGTGTAAATTAAAGTATAAATCAATCTAATTAAAATATAAATCTATCATTTATCTATAAATCTATAATTAAAGTATAAATCTATCTTGCTTTATCACATGGAATATAAATTACTTGTGTATTTTAAGTGTCCCACACCATATAAAAAGACAAAGCTATCCTGTAAAGATCTTTTTGTAAGAAGCTTCATAAATACTCTGGGTTTTTAACTTGGGGTCCTATAAGCCTGAAATCAAGGTATTGATTCAGTTGGGCTCTGAGCAAGAAACATTTCTAAACTTCTTCAGGTTGTGAGCAAAATATTTTCTTTGTGCTTTTAAGACTGATGTCCTATCACCTTGCCCAACTGTCAGTCTGGGATTACTCTTAGTTCCTGGAGACCACACCTACAGTTCTTTGACATAAGTCTTATAATATCAAAGCTTACTCTTTCAATGTAGTGTTGAATCCCCTTTATGATTCCTCTCTCTTAACTTTGTCCTCTAGAACACTGGAAGATATTGCTTCTAAAGGACTTGTGTGATTAGATTCTTACCTACCTAGATAGTTTTCCCTGTTTTAAGGTCATATTTACAGGTTCCAGGGTTTAGAACCTAATTGTATCTTTTTTTGGGGGGTGGGGAGAGCACTCAGTCCAACTCATAATAGAGGGTTAAGAACCCTAAGAAAACTGAAATGCAAAACAAAAAAACTGAAATGCATGCAAGAAAGAATGATAGTGGTTTGAAAGTGGTAGATAACACAAACTTCCTTGTTTGGATTTTTTGCCCACATTCCTTAGCCTTTGATTCCACTCTGTGACTCCTCTCTACTCCTTTCTACACAGATATCTTGATCTCTGAATTTAGGTTGTAAACTCATATATCCACAAGTCTAGTTGTATTGACTCTGAATATGGTTTTCTTATTTGAATTTCCACCACTTCTCTGCTTCTCTCTTTTGATGAATGAGACTTTAGATTAAGTCTTCCATACTTAAGCATATTTGTAATTCTTGGATCGTTTGAGAAGCTTTTCTTACTTGCCAAAAATATTATTTCCTCAGAAATGTATCATTCTTGGCCATTATTATAACTTTCTTCTTTTGCTGGTAGCAGAACCTATGCCGGTATTTTCTAACAGCTTGTCTGCCTTGTCTTCAAGTGATATTAGAGAGGCTGCAAAAACCTAGCGTGGGTTTACCTAACAGCTGAGGGATGCCTTTCCTCCCTGTACATCACATGACTAGATATGCCTGTCAAGTTGGCTGTCCTTTTAAAGATCTGAGAAATGTAGGAGTTTTACCTACTATAACAGCTGCTAGAGATGATACATCTTCAGAGAAACAATCTAAAAGATAAGTAATGTAGGAGTTGGGGGACGTGTGGGGTGTAACACTGCATTTTCTCTTACTCTTTTATATTATTCTTTCTAAACTTACCATGCCTCTTTTCAGACTTATTTAAAACATTTTTTAAATAGCAGGGAACATATTTTAAAACATCAAAGAAATTCTTTCTCAAATCTTTTAAATATTTTTACATTCTTGGTAATTCAGAAAAGAATGGATATGAACTCTCACCTTTACCTTTACCTTGAGGGCAGTATTTCATTTGTAGCTCAGCCCATTTCATGAGTATTCTAAGTAGAGGCCTGATGTGAAGTCTATAATGAAGTCTACAATTTTTCAGACTCTGAAAAAATTTGCCGCACTAAATTTTTATAAACTCTCAAGAAATGCATCTTTGCCAAGGGAATTAGTGATTAGGTCTGGGTGGGTGGGGCCTGTGATCTATTTACAGGTAAAATAACAGACCTTCACAGTTTCTAAGACTCAGGTACAAACATCAAACAACCTGTTCTAAGAAATGAATCATAGGGCTTACTGCCTAAGAAAAAGTACTTGCTGCTTTAGAACCCTACCCTAGGAGTATCTCCAAGGCCTCAAACAACCCTATCTCTAGTTTTCCTTGGAAAATGAACAGATTTTGAGCCAAATTTGGAAGATCTTTTCCTAGGTCACAGTGAGTGAATACTTTTGGATTCGGCTTTTCCGAAGAGGTATCTCAATGAAGTACTTAAAGTATTTTGCTACGTTTATTCATTTTCTTATCTATCCCTTTACTAATCTATATGATCCTCAAGATTTTATTTCAGAGAAGGAACAGGTTACCTTTTTACATTAAGTCTAAGGGTTTTGTTTTGTTTGGGGGGGGTTGTTGTTTTAATGTGTATGCTAGTCCTTTAATGTGTATGTTGGGACTTAAATTCAGGGCCTGTCCCTGAGCTTTTGTAAGCCAAGTCTAGCGATCTACCACCACTTGAGGCAGTGTTCCACTTTCAGCTTTTTGGAGGTTAATTGGAAATAAGAGTCTCAGGGACTTGCCTGCCTGAGCTGATCACAGTAACTCAGATCTCAGCTTCCTGAGTGAGTAGCTAGGATTTATAGGGATGAGCCACCAGTACCTGGCAAATCTAAGTTTTTGGGTAACATTTATATGTTTCACCAATCAAAACTATAAAAATTGGTTCAGATGTCTGTCACACTCTTCCCCGCTGTCCCTTGAATTCTTTCCTGTTTCTGTATGCAACAACACATTTGCATTTCCTTCCTTAAAAAAAAAGTAACCACATGCATTATTATCCAGCACCTTGGTTTTTTTTCAGTTAGTATATTCAAGATAGCTTTCTATATTAGAATACACAAAGTTTCCCTATCCTTTAGCATAACCATATTCCATATACCATTTTATTAATAAATACATTAGAATTTATTCATACTTCTGTTTGTGTCAGTTCTTTTGTTATTATAAGCTACATCACAATGAAGAATTCCATTTATGACATTGTGGTCACCTATAGTATGCCTATAGACTATTCCTGGCAGTGTGTCAGATCTTACAGTAAATGCTTTGGAGGCGGGGAGGCAAGGGGGAAGTACCAGTACTGAGGCTAGAACACTGGGCCTCGCTCATACATAGCTTTTTCTGCTCATGGCTAGTGCTCTACCACTTGAGTCATACCTCTACTTCTAGCTTTTTTCTGGCTAACTCAACATAAGAGTCTCAAATATTTGTCTGCTTGGACTGGCTTTGAATCTTAATTCTCAGATCTCAACCTCTTGAGTAGCTAAGATTGTAAGCATGAGCCACCAGTGCCTGGCATTTCCAGATTTACAGTGCCCTTCAGTTTGGACTCCGTCAGTCTCTAGGAAGCAGCATCTATGGTACATGTAGCCTGTACTCTAAAAACTTACTGAAGAAAGAAGTT